TTTGTTTTTCTGTACTTGAATAAATTTCTGTGTTTTGATGCAGAAGTTTTTGTTTATGGGAGGTTGGAAATCACGACAATTTTACAAACACGCAGAAGTGTAAAGCTGTTGGAAAATAAGGTAATCTTATGATTTCAAGCCCTATATTTATTGGTTTCTTGGTTATATTTTTTCTCAGATCTTGACTCAGGACTGCATTAGGGAGTTAAATTAAAGGTAATTATTTTGTAAATCAGTTTTGAAGCCATGACTCTTAAAATTTTGGTTTCATAGTAATTCAGTGTCGGAAGTTTGTTTTGGGTAAGGAATCCATGTTACAAGGCAACCACTATTGGTTTCATAGTATTTTGTGAACCATTTTAAAATTTCTATTTTCTGCTGCTAACATCGACACTTGTTTTTACCAGTCCTGCAGTTGTCACAAGGTGTGTAGCAATTTTGAAACGGTATCTTCTAAGGTTTGTACTTGAACAAATGGATATTCAATTGCATCAAAACATTTTATATGTGATGCATTGTTTGTCTCTCTACAGTCCTCACTTCTTCAAACTGCATATTGCAATATTAATGCTCAGTTATTTCTTTTAAAAAAGGTCATATGTTTAACACTCCCTACCACCACCCCCTATATCTCTATCACGAATTCACGTCTATACCTTAATTAGTTGTGTGTTGCTACCCCTGAAGATTTACATTTTTTATACTCCTCTTTAACTTATCTGCTTATTCATTGATCTGTTACACTTGTGATTGTTGCAGGCCTTTATGAAGGCGAAGTTTGGAAGATTCGTGTTGAACTTCCTGATGCATATCCTTACAAATACCCTTCTATCGGCTTCGTGAACAAAATATACCACCCGAATGTTGATGAGTTGTGAGCACTTCATTTGCTTATCAATCTTTTTATTTAATGTAATTTTTGCACTGTTTTGGGCTGGCTCTGGATATAATACTTGAACCCTGTACCTCCGACTCCTTTTAACCCTTAGTTCAATTAGTTCAAGCTAGTTGAGCTATCCTTCCTACCCATGGCCCCATGATATATGAATTACTTTCTCTCATTCATCTGGTATACACACCACTATTTTGTTGTTTTAGGCCTTTATTCTGGGATTTTGTACAAGTGGTGTATAAAATTTCTTTAGAGACACCTGTAGATTATAACCGATTCTAAGTTTACGTTTTGTCCATTGCAGATCTGGCTCTGTATGCTTGGACGTAATTAACCAATCATGAAGTCCAATGTTTGGTAATTTTGTTAAAGGTTTTTCATTGTAAAAAATTTCAAGTATCTGAAGTTTAAAATTCTGTTGATCTGTCAAATTATTTTGTATATGTTGGTAAATAATTATGTGAAAAATTCAACAGGATTATATGGAAACAAGAGTTTTTCCAAAAACAAGAGTTTTTTTTACTGTACACCCTCTGCATCCTTTTGTTGGTCTATATGTTTTAGATGTTTTGTGACACTGTATGCTGGTGAGTCGGTCATATGGAGTATTAGTGTATTATGATTACTCACCTACTGTTATAAGAACCTTTTTCTGGATTTCATGGATGTGAAAACAATTCTTGACTTGATAGTGGTTTTATCTCGTTGATTCCGGTTTCATCGCATTTTAGTTTTCGCTTTGATTTGGTAACAATAGCTGATTATAGGTTTACTCTCAGATTTATCGTTGGTGCTGCGATTGAATGTTGTTTAAGTTACTTTGAGGTTATTAAATAGGATATGATATTATGGTTTTCTGGTTTCTAGTTATCTCAGTCATGTTCATACTAAACTTTTAGGACTTGATTTTAAGAATTCTTTTTGAAATTTGATGATGGGTTTTACTGCTTGTATGATTTTCAGTTGTAATTATCTTTATAAGTTGCTTATGGCATCCGACTGAACCGGTTTCGGTCCCATTGAGTCTCGCTTCAGTTTTGGCAATTATTTTGTGTGGTTTCTGTTGGCACTTTGTTGTGTTTAGTTCGGTTGCGAGTTGTGGTTCGATTACTCCTTGTTTGATGTGTGATGCTAATCGTAATACGATATGGAAGTTTTGATGCCTGTTCTATTTTTTTGGAGCTTTCCTCCTGCTGTTGTTCATTCAATAGATATGTTTCCTATAGTTTTTTTCCATTGCATTAATTTTAGAGTAAAGTGAAGGACCAATTGGATATTGTGCTTGTTCTGTTTTTTTTTTATATTACATGATTTGCGGCTGTAAATTCTTATGGGAGGAGTGTACTGCTAAAGTTTATAACTTGCTATGATATCTCCATAAATATGACCTTCCAATATATAAATATGAACATAAGACCAACATGTTTATAACTTGATTTGTTTAACATGTTTAATATTAGTTGTTTTTACTAATAGTCTCTGTAAGCATTGGTGTAAATTTGCTATTTTTTTTTGTTTCTGGATTTCATGGATGTGAAAACAAATCTTGATAGTGGTTTTCCAATAAATCCCTTTTCAAGAATCCAATACTGAGAATAATTTGGGTTTAGTCCTTCATGTTTAGAGTTGCAACCACTCTGCAGAATGCCAATTTTGCACCCCTTTGCTTTTGAGTTAGCACCTGTTCCCAGATAGTTTCACTTTCGACCCTAGCTCTTGCTCTCTCCTAAACTTAATTGCAGTTTTGGAATAACACCTATTCTCACCTGACACACGTTGTATACGTGTAGTTGTTATTTTATAGCTTTTGGATAAGTGTTTCAATATGACGGGGCTTGCTTTTTGTAAATAATGATATCACAATGAACAATGTGTTATTTTTTATCATCTTTACTTGATATATCAGATGGTGCTTGATAATGCCTTGAACGTGTTGTTGTTGCATGTTTGATGATAACATTATCAATAATAGCTCACCTTTTGTTTCATTGGCATTTTTGCTTTCAGAAAAGGACTCCGTCCATTCAGTGGACTCAGATTTCGGTAGAAACGCAGGGGCTTCTGCTCAAAGTCTGGTGTCAAACTCGGAGAAAGATCACTTCCAGGAAAATAATACTACACAGTCAAAGGTTAATCAAGCAACAATGGAGAATAGGAATACATCGGTCAAGGCTATGGATATAGAGAACAAGCAAGAAAAAGGGCCTCTCCCTGAAGGTTTTTTTAATAATAAAGAGGTTGATTTGCGGGCACGTGGCATTAAGCCTGTTAAGCCAGATGTCAAGTAGGTTCCCAACTTATGTTGTTTGTGCATCCATACATTACTACCACATATAATAATCAAGAATCTAGTTTACATGGAATGGAAGTAAAGATAACAGAAATTTACAAATTTTACCTACTGTTATGGCACATATTTCCCATAAGTAATTAAAAAGAGAATAGTGAATATATATTTCAAGTGCTGGTTTTTATCTAGTGTTGGTTTTTATCTCACACACAGCATTTAAACTTCTTTACCATTTTTGTGCTTGCTTCGGTTAGTATCCACTTCATTATATGACTTCCATTATGCAGTCTTGCTATTGTTTCTAGTATAAACATGAACAATGGCGCTGTGTTTTGATATTTCAAAGCGTTTGAAACTTTTGTTAATACATGTTTGGATATTTCAAAGCTAATGTTTCTTGATGGTTAACCGAACAAACCGATCCATTTTAACCGATCAACCGATTAAACCGATCCGATCAAACCGATTAAAATTTTGGTCGGAATTGGGCCTACAAAATCTACCCATGGTTTTGGCCGGTTTGACATATCGGGCCCGAATCCAATCCAAACCGACCGATGTCCAGCCCTAGTAATAGTAGTAATAATAGTAATAACAATAGTAGTAGTAATAGTAGTAATAATAGTAATAATAGTAGTAGTAATAGTAATAGTAGTAGTAGTAATAGTAGTAATAATAGTAATAATAATAGTAGTAATAGTAATAGTAGTAGTAATAGTAGTAATAATAGTAGTAATAGTAGTAGTAATAGTAATAGTAGTAGTAATAGTAGTAGTACTAATAGTAATAGTAGTAGTAATAGTAGTAGTAATAGTAGTAATAATAGTAGTAATAGTAATAGTAGTAGTAATAGTAGTAATAATAGTAGTAGTAGTAGTAATAGTAGTAGTAATAGTAGTAGTAGTAATAGTAGTAGTAATAGTAGTAGTAGTAGTAGTAGTAATAGTAGTAGTAATAGTAATAGTAATAGTAGTAGTAGTAATAGTAGTAGTAATAGTAATAGTAGTAATAGTAGTAGTAATAGTAGTAGTAGTAGTAGTAGTAGTAGTAGTAGTAGTAGTAGTAGTAGTAGTAATAATAGTAATAGTAGTAATAATAGTAATAGTAGTAGTAATAGTAGTAGTAGTAATAGTAGTAATAGTAGTAGTAGTAGTAGTAGTAATAGTAGTAGTAATAGTAGTAGTAGTAGTAGTAATAGTAGTAGTAATACTAATAGTAGTAGTAATAGTAATAGTAATAGTAATAGTAGTAGTAGTAGTAGTAATAGTAATAGTAATAGTAGTAGTAGTAGATGATGATGATGATGATGATGATGATGATGATGATGATCATAATAATAATAATAATAATAATAATAATAATAATAATAATAATAATAATAATAATAATAATAATAATAATAATAATAATAATAATAATAATAATAATAATAATAATAATAATAATAATAATAATAATAATAATAATAATAATAATAATAATAATAATAATAATAATAATAATAATAATAATAATAATAATAATAATAATAATAATAATAATAATAATAATAATAATAATAATAATAATAATAATAATAATAATAATAATAATAATAATAATAATAATAATAATAATAATAATAATAATAATAATAATAATAATAATAATAATAATAATAATAATAATAATAATAATAATAATAATAATAATAATAATAATAATAATAATAATAATAATAATAATAATAATAATAATAATAATAATAATAAATTATTGAATAGTTTAATTATTATTTTTTGTATAATTTATTCAACTATTCTTCTATTGAATACTAGCCTATGCATATGCCTTGTTTGGCAGTGTTGGAATACTCTGTTCATTACAGAAAAAGTTTTCCTGATCAACTTCAGTCTTAACCTTAACCAATCTCTCAAAATTTTCACCAAAGTACTTCTTTCCATAAACCACTCCTTCATTGTATTCATCCTTACCATGATTGTTGGTACCAATATCAAGGTCTCTATAATTCAAATAAGCACTTCTTGGATTCTTTGACACAAATGGTGTCATGTAACTATACATCTTTCTAATCTGACTTAAAAAATTCTCTTCTAAACCAGCTTCTGGTTTTTCCCATTTCACAGTATATTGAATTTTATACAGATTCCCTGCACGGTGAGGAAAAGCAGTAGCATTAGAACCTACCTCACTCATTTTTCCACCATAAGGATTGAAATCAAGCTCAACTCTTTCATTTTCAATCATCTTTTTCATTATCAATTTCCACCCATCTTTAGAAATTGGTGACTTTACATAATCAGATTTTCTCTTGCTAAAATGCACTGTGTAATGGCTTCTGTCAAGAAGTGCTTCTAAAGAAGCACCATCATCGTAATTAGCCCAATAATAAACAGCTTCAATCCAACTCACTTCAGAACAATTTTCCTTCTTTAATCCCAACAAAGGAAACTCTTTCCCTAACAATGTCACAACTTCATCAGCACCTCCAAGAAACAAAGCCTTAACCGAAACATTATTTGTTTTCTGACCATTCACAGGCTCCATAAGTAGTCTCATGAAAAGCCTATCATCGGTTTGCGGCGCAACTTGTTGCCATTGGAGAATAATATCAAGAACATTCTTCTCCAAACTCTTGTCAACTGTAAAAACCGTAACTATTTCCGGTACCGAAACAAGTTTAACAGTGTATGATAAGATGACACCAAAACTCGCTCCTCCGCCACCTCTAATAGCCCAAAACAGATCTTCTCCCATAGTTTTCTTGTCAAGAATTCTACCATTGACATCAACAATTTTAGCATCAATAACATGATCAATAGATAAACCAAATTTTCTCAACATGACCCCATAACCTGCTCCACTCAATAGTCCACCAACACCAACAGTTGGACAAACGCCACCCGGAAAGCCATGCACCTTACTCTTCTCCCATATTCTATAATAAAGTTGCCCAAGACTTGCACCGGCTTGAATCACCGCGATCTCGTTTTGTATATCGACAGTTACATTCTGAAAATTAAACATGTCAAGCATAATAAAGGGTGAGTTGGAGATATACGAAATACCTTCGAAATCATGGCCTCCGCTTCTGATTTTGAGATGAAGACCAATGGTTTTGGAGCAAAGTATAGTGGCCTGTACTTGGTTTTCATGCATAGGGGTGATGATAAGTAATGGTTTTGTTACATTGGAGGGAGTGTTGAACTTGAACCTACCATTTCTAGCGAAGGCTCGAAAAATAGAGGTGTATGATGCGTTGGTTTGGGCAAAAACTATGTTGGAAACTTGATCTTGTGGTATTGTGCGGCTTTTAAGACATTGAACAAAAGTTACGTATGTGGACTCATTTGATGGAGCTGCATGAGAATTAGAAACATGTAGAACAAGTAGAATTATAACAGAAAAAAATTGCAGAAGTTTTGATTCATCCATTGCAATTCTGAAATTGCAGAAATTTAGAATCGAATACAAATTCAGGACCTAAAATGCATTTTATAAAGACAAATTTTAAATTGTTGATAATAATTTTTTAATTAAAGTAATATTTTCATTTAAAAACCAACTTTTTGAATTTTTTAGAATATAAAATTATTTCTTAAAGTTTTGTAATTAATTGTTTAACATAAATAAAACTGTACGTGTTGACTTGATTTTTGAAAATTTTCTATCTAAAGACGCAACAATTATAGAAATAAATAATATTATTATATAAATTAGCGTTCAAACGGGTACGTCAGTACCCGTTTGTCCGCTTTTTTATTGCGCTAAACACGCAAAAATATTAACAGCGTATTTTTTTATAAATTTAATTTTACTATAAATTATTTATATTGATTTTAATATAAACTATTTATATGATGAAATATTAAGTTTTGTATTTATATATTGCTATAGATTAGTCAAAATTATAAGAAGATTTAGATAGAAGAAGAACAAAAATCTTTCTCACAATTTATTAAGCAACTAAACATAAACATTAACACGGATATTAAGTTACATTATTGCTTAATAGGAAGGTCAACCATGGAATCAAAATCAGAAATATCTCTTGTTTCAATGCAAAACAAATGAAATAAATTTTAGTAGTCAACGGTGTAATCTAGTAAGTAAACGCCTAGTGTGAGATTGCAAAAGTATAGTTGAATGATTAAACATAATAGATAAATACCTGAGTTTGTGACAACAAAATTTCTTTAAAAACTATATTTTTTGTAAACTCCCTTTCTTTCCCACTTACTCTTCCGTCTTTAATTAGCACTCTTATTGCAGCCCGCGAAACACCTCTTGATAAAGCAACATACAATTGTCCGTGACTGAAAACATGTCGTGGAAGATAAATTCCAACATTTGGAATTGTTTGTCCTTGGGATTTATTTATAGTGAGTGCAAAGCTTAGTTTGACAGTAAACTGTTTTCTAATAAGCACAAAAGGAAGTCCCGCACCTTCAGTGGTCTTGAGCTTAATTCTTGGCAAGAAAGCTCTTTTTCCAGCATTGTGGCCTGTAAGTATTTCAACATCAAGCAAATTCATTAAAAAAACCACGACATAACAACCTTGTCCCATTACACAATCCAAATTTAGGTTAATTTGGTATTGCATGTCATTCATATCATGAGTTGAACAAAATTTGCTATGTTGACCTATTCTATGTAGGTTAATTTGATATAGTCAATTTAAAAGATGTACAAAATTCTAAACTATTAATATGGTTAAACTATGATGTTCCTACCCTCTTAATTCTAAGATAGGCATGTCATACATATTTTCCATTTATGTCTTAATCCATTTATTTGTAGTTGTAGGTTCACTTGAAACATAACTATTACATTCATATCACCTTGTTCAACTCAAACATAACTTAATTCACCTTTAACCAACAATATTTTAAAAAAAAATCATTCACATATTATAAAACACTTAAACGTGAATAATAATAAATAAATTGTCTGTGCATATTTTCATACTGTTTTTTCACAAAAGGAAGATAACTGTCACCGGTACCGCATAATAATAAAACTGAAATGACATATTATAGTTATACTGACATTAATAATACAATACCTACAAAACAGGGAAGCTAATCTTGCAAGATATCTAAGATAGAGATTTTGAAAAATAAATAAATAAAAAACTAATCCTGCTCAGTAAACTATAATATACCACATAATATCCAAATATCATATATAGTCTAACACCCACATTATTAAAGAAGATTAGGCTAGCTCTAGTCATAAAGTTATAGCATGGGATAAGATCAATATTAGTGTCAAGACTATCCTAGGCACACATGTACCAGAAACAGAGAATAGCTTCCTACATGATGTAATTTTATGAGAAACTATCACATTCTTTCGTTCAAGCATACCAAATTTTTATGAAATTGGTACTAGATAGGTCAAAATCTAGTAGAGTAGAGTATAGTTTTATAATTTGGAAAACAATATGCAATGTTAATGGTTTGCTAATAAAACACAGATTAAAATTAATAACATAATGCATTTTTAACATGACTTATATCATATCCAATTGAGTTCTTTAAATGAATCATATTTAATTTTTTATATTATTTTAAACAATTCAACTTTATTTTCCAAATATCTATACAATCCATCAAAAATTCTAAAATAAATCCTATCAAATCCCACAATTAGTGTTGCAATTACAATTGGCAATTAAGCTACGCTCTCTCATGTGATAACGTTTGCGAAAGGCAATTCAACTACGCTGTTTAATGTAACAATGTTTGCGAATGTAGTAACGATGTTTTTGTTCAATTACCCATTGAAATTGCCACAATAGGTTTGATTGTTATGTAGAAACTTTATAAACAACATGCGATATTTATGCTCTAATAGGAAGTGTTAGCCATCTATCGCTCCCGAGGCATTATTACTGCCTGAAAATGTGAAGCTACAAAGCAACCTGGTTTTTTTCCAGTGGATTTGATAAATGTACTGCCGAAACAAACATATGCTAGGTAATGACATAATCTATCTCAGCCATTGATACCCATTTCACTAATTTTGGAGGATGCAAGATGCATTGCATTATGACAAAACTTAAAATAAAATGATAATTTACAATAACTTTTTGACCATAAAAAGGGTCTGTCTCAAGTAAAATATTGAGTAATAATCATGTGTATTTGTTCCCTCTAAAAACACCAAATCCCTAAAACCAATATCCCACAACAGACAATAAGAGATTGTCATTATTACTCTACCTATGTTTAACAATTACTTAGAATTTTTCATTATACAAAAGGAACACATTTTTTATAGACAAATGATACCTATAACAGATATGTCATGAGGTTTCACGATGAGCCATTAATGAAATGTGCCAATGCCTTGTCTGTATTATTGTCATGCATAACTAAGGCCTCCACTGCTTAATGAAAATTTGGTTAGTAACCGTGGAGAGAATATTGTGGAGAGATAGTTGCAGTTATATTATTTTTTTTAACTTTTAAGTAGTTATTGAAATGATAAATTACAAAATGGTATGCAGTTACAATTTTCAAAATAGCAAAGGATAATTTTGAAAGAAAAAAAAGGCTACACCAAAATGATGTTTTGCCTTTATATATTATTTTAGAAGATATAGATGTTATAGATTAAATATTTTATGAAATAAATTTTGTAAAATAAATTTGTGTTTTATAACTTAATTTTGCATTAAATATATGATAAATAAATATCAATAAAATAAAATAAAAAGTAAAATAAATGTATATTTATTTATACGAAGATATCTCTCATTTTAAAAAATAACAATAAAAAACATAAGGTTATAGAAAATACATGGAATAAAATTCAACATTAATTATATCTAAATAGTTATGTCTAATAACGGCAGAAAATTATAAATTTTTTTTTTAATTATGTCTATTATGTATAAATAATTATGTCTTATATAGTATTTTCATGCCTTTTAGGTTTAATTGTCCTTTTTTTTTAAAGTTAATGTGTATAAAATATAAATAGTGATTTTTTTATAACAAATTCAAGTGCAACATAGAAATGTCAAACAACTTATCACCAAATAGTTACTGCTTTTTAATTTCACTCGAATTATGATAGATTCTGTAACTGTTTCCACCAGCTAAACATGCAATAGAGCTTCCATACAACAATGGTTTAAATCAGGAAACATGCAGGGTTCAAAAATTGGAGAAAAACTTATTTCTGTGGAGATTTTCCCTAACACGACCCTCAAAATACTTATACAACGATTATGTTACCATAAGAAAAATCCTACGTCAAACAACTTATGAGTAATTTTGTTTCCATAATTGTAACCACGGTTAGTCCTAACTTAAAGCCGGGAAACAATGTTGAATGGTTCAATAAAATACATTATCAATAACACTTATTAGAAAGTTGAGTCGCATTTATAATTTTTACATTGTAAATATTGCAGTTCATCTCAATAAAAGTAAAGTAATAACAATTAATTTACAAATATTTAGTAGATCTCTTCCTTTTCTATTTTTTACTTTAAAGACAACAAATCTTTATTTAAAAAGGGATTTTATTCAAAATGAGTGTGAAATTGCAACGTAACTGCATTTAAATGGGAAAAAAAATCAACAAATGCAATTGCCTCCACCTAATATTGTGTTAACAAAAACAAAACAAAAAAGGATATGAGACAGAAGAAATAAAAAGGAAATGCGAGAGTGATAAAAAAAGAGAAATAGTAATAATAAATGACGTATTCTTTCTTCTTTGTTCCTTGTTCCACAATAATCACAAATTTTCATCTTTCTATATATCCATATTCTTTCTTTTGATAATTAAGCAACTAAAAATATGAGATAAGTCAGAAAAATAAACTGCTTCATTTTTTTTACCTCAGAGATGTTGAACACATCAAATTGCTCTAAATTATCAAAAAAAAAATAATACAAATTTTTCATCTCTAATCTAAATCCAAAATTTGATGAATTGGGTTGAATTTTTCTATTAAATAATTATACATTTAACCTTACAACACCCAATTCTTCTAACTTCACGCAATTGAACAGCTCCATGTATTTTTCCCAATTTTGTCATGTTACATTACATAACCTTTAAATAAAAGAAATCAAAATTAAAGAAAATTAAAGTTAAATTAGAGAAAATTAGGGAAGTTGTTACAAACATACCAAATATCAATAGTAGTTTCCAATATCCTCATGTCCACCATTTATCTCGACTTTCTTCTCTCTTTTCTCTTTTGTTCTTGATTAATGTTTTCTACAATTAGATTAAATGACATAGAAGTTGAATATCTTTCTTTTCTTTATCTTAGTTCTCTTTCCTTTCTCTTTTTCATTCTCTTTCTTCTTAAATAAATGAGTTAAATGGGAATGGGAAGTTATTATTTTGATATAACCGTAAAATAGTTCTTACTCATTGATATATTTTCTATGGCCTTTTGATACTGT